TAAGATCGGTGTGCGTAACCGCGAGGGCAGAAAGCTGGCGCCGTGCATATTCGCATTATGCCATAAAACATGAAATCGAATTTCCTCAAGCCAGTCCAAGAGGCCCGATGATTATAGTTCTGGGACATATCGCGAAAATATGGCGGAAGTAGGATGCGGTGTTAAATTTTGCAGGAAACCGCAGCATCCTATCATAAGAAAGACTCGCAATCGCAACGTGAACGTACGACATTCGTCGTCGAAGAATCGTAAACGTTTTTAAGGCCTCCCTCGTTATACTCCAAGAAGCATCTACGAGAACAATAAACGAGATGAGCTCTTACCAGGATTGTAAAAAGGATCGATATAAGACTCCCTATTGGGTGTACTAACTTTTTGTATAAACTGCTCAAAACCAATTACTTCTCTGGACACCCGTAAGCTCCAAAACTTTCCGACTCTCTGATCTGGCGCTGATAGCCAAGCAGCGAATACCTTCTTTTTTTTTATTACGCTTTCGCTGATCCAGCTCACTACAATTTGTTTGGCGCATTGTGTCTAGACCAGCGGAATTCCATTGGCCGAAAGGAACTGCTGATCTCCACCCCTATATAGTACCAATCTGTAGAGACGCAAGATAGATATCCGAGAACACGATTCTCCCTCCCTTCCCTTCACGAGGTAGATATACACAGGGTACTCTCGGTTGAATAGACACGTATACAAAATGGGGTTGTCGTCCTCGTGGAATAACTGCAGGGGTGAATCTCGCGTGCAAAAATAATCCTCCTTACCAGACAAAATGTAAATAAAGGTCTCGCCCATGCCTTCCGGGTAAACGAAATTAGGCGTATCGTTGGATACGATTTGCAAGTCTCATAATAGACGCGCGTTAGTCATGATATCCAAGTGCGTCAAGGGTGGCGCTAATAAATTAGTCAGAAGGCGTCTGGAAAGTCTTGAAAGAAAGGAGAAAAAATAACTCATGAATTCAATTTAATTTAACAATATCCTCAGAACGTCTCGTTTACCACCACCCACGTTCTGAGGAGTTATCATAAATTCGCATACCCGTATCGCCACGAATATTCGCAATAGTGCCTCTCGCCATAAAGACCCTCTTGTAAAAATGTCTGCTGTAAAACTGAAAACCCCCTATAGCAAACTATTATTGAGGCTTTACGAGACGCTTTAAAACTCACTCGAGCTCGGACAAAAGTTTAGTAAAATCCTTAATGCCTGTTAGGTCCACAGAGTACTAGTCGCAGATGTGCTATCATAATTCTTCACGAAGCTTCCTCGACGATTTTATATTCCCGTTCGAGTCATATACTCAAGATACGAGATCTTTTCTGCATCCTGCTTCGCGGGATACTGCAACACGCAATCTCTGGAAGCTCACGAGGAATGGCCGTCGTGTGGAAAGATTCACGAGGTTAAGGGAAGGACCGCCAGTTTCTGATATCACGCTCTCCTTGTGTAAGTCTGTATGTATACAAACAGTCACGAGAAAAGATTCCGGGCGTTTTATCGCGCCGCACGTATGTACAATGTACATACATACCCTCTTTGCCATATTTACGAATATCATGTGCTTCCGGTGACATCATTACCACTATTTTATCCAACCCGCTTCCTCCGTCCATCGTGCAAATCCATCTATGCGGTTTACGAGGATCGAACAAAGGGTGGCCAGAATGTATCCAGTTAATAACGTAAAATGATGCGGCAGGATGCCAAGGAAAGTGCGTGCAGACAGGCACTCTGTAGTTTTTTTGAGGTTTCGAGACCGTGGGATCGATATCAGCTTCAAAGTTATATATATATATATATATATATACATATATATAGCTAAGAACAGATAGGATTTATTATAAATACCGTCAATAGACTTCCATCCAACTTTTTTATACTGATAATTTCTTTGATCGGCAGAAACAGTAGTGCCGACTTGACGACCTTGAATTGATAAATCACTATCGACCAATTTAACGATCTTGTTACAATTCTTATGCGCGGTAAATTCTTTGACGTATGAATGGCTCCTTTCATCGCGCCACGCGCTTCTTGCACGGGTCTGCCAGTAATTCCTACTCGAGTAACTTTGCACTTTGCTACTTGCAAGAGTGACACGCGTATCTGTGATATCGTTGAAACTGGCAAAGTGATCAAATTAAACGTTGTTTATAAGCTTCATCCTATTTTTATCCCAATGAAACAAGCGACAAAGCCAAGATCTATGATTTCGGGAAAACCTTGAGTCCCAGACGCGTCATCGAATACACGTGTCCATTGGCGTGCCACGTATACCTTCGAACAAAATCGTCCAATATATAAAGCATATCAGTGTCAGAGGTCGCAGACGGCTGGAAAATGGCGGTAACACGATTTCACAAGACGTATCTTATTTATCGTTTAGAATTTTTACCAATAGTGAACCGCGCTAGTGTCACGTAGGCGAACCAGCTCCAATCGGTATCGGCGTATCTCGCATGCTAAATCATAAACGAATGCAGGCCATTCCACGGTTCGCATTATACGTATACGTACGTAGTACGTGGGTCTAAATAAGAAAATTATAATAATCAGCAAGTCGGATTAAGGCCGTTTCACGTCGCGGTGGGACTGTAAAGCGATGGCAACGTGGGTTGGTAAAATCGTAATTTATCGTGTAAGACTTTTACGCAATGTAAATCGCGCTAATTACCAGAGCCAATGGTGCATTGCGTGACCGGCCTTTATCGCATTAATTCTCAGCCGAACACCTTTGCTTCGCGACTTTTCGAAATTCCATTGCGCTGCCGGATCCACGGGGCAGGCAAAGGGCTTTCGTGTTGCGTTAGTTAAGATAACGATGATCCGCGCTACGCGGGTTCGGCATAGTAAATACTAAACACCATGAATGGACACGAAGGCGTCGAAGTGAATGGAGCCAGGAAGCCTGATTCGCCCACGCATTAATACATTGATGTAGGTAGATCCTGTTGGTGATCTTACATAGCCAATCCTATAGGATTCTAAGTAATCGTGACGTTATGGACCTCCAGCATCATTCTTGCTATTGTCCAGATCTTACAATGGGAATACGTTATGTTCTCGGAAGTGAAGACCGGAGTCAATAATATGTCTAGATCATTGTTTAGAACGTGATAGAAGAGTGTTTAGCGCATAGAGTACTGTGTACATAACTAATTGACTTATAAGTGAAAAAGGAACCAGTACGGGCAGCGATATTCCTGCGAAACTCGATAAGATAACCAGAAGCGGTTTCTGCGTAGATAATAGCGTGAAATAATATTAGCATAAGCTGATAAGTATCCGTCGGTCTGATTAAACGTTCTTTCATACGAATGCAACCCCAGAGAGGTAAGGCTCGAAAGTCTTATATTTTCCTTGGAATGTTTTTCTTCGCGTACGACTAAGAATACGTCTAAGTAGGCAGCTGAGTAAATTAATGTTGAAACATTTGAAAATCCCCAGAGCGGTGTAACAGAGTCTACGTTATGTGCGCTGAAGTATATACTGTACATACAGTGGATTGTATTGCTGCAAGAAACAGTATCTCCTGAACGAATCGCTTGAATTGTCCAACGAATAAAAAGGTGCAATTAACGATTGCACTTGAAGGTATGCACTTGAATCTAGCATCTGGGCACTCGGCCAGAGCTCTAGGAATGTAACGTGCATCCTCCTCACGAATACGTACAGTCACTATACCAAAAACGAGGATCGATACACGATTCTGCACTCGACGGAATTGCGAGAGGACTCGGCAGAATTCTATTGCCTTGATAGAAAATAAAATACGACTGGCTTCGCGTGTTGCGTCGCCGTAACGTGTAACGTGAATCTTCTTAATTTCATATCGACCAGTCCTCATCAAGGTCACGCATGAAGATGAGGTCAATAGGCCGAAAGGATAAAGTGAAATAAATGCATGAGGGTAACCACTGGGCCGTATTGGATTATGAGATATAGAAATTTAAAAGAACAGCTAGATTCGTGTCACGGACTCGACCTCGTTCATTGTGTGACTTATTTCGCGTACTTAAGAGAATCGCGAGATTCGCATGCAGTGCTGATGCGCACATGCACCCAAGCACATATTCGTGGACCGAGGAGATAAACACGGACGGGTAACGATAAAGTCCAGCTATTCGAGGAGTGGATGTCGCGAGGTGTTGCTGGTCCATGATATCAGAAATGATCAAGGTGTGCGTACCTCGACTGTATTCTTATCCATCTATGGAGCAGAATCCCGCAAGGCCACGCGAAGAGTGTCACGTGCGAGTTGGCTTTATTCGTATATAATACACGAGACACGCCTAGTCGAATAACACGGATGAATTTAGCGATTGCATTGTGGCTGGTGTTTTCGTACGCTCGTCTGCCGGAATTTACTCTTTTTGCGTCCCCGTGCGAATTAATTGAGACAGTCCAATGGATGCCACTGTTTAACCCATGGTTATTGTCTTAAGAGACAATAAGTGCTTCTCGTAATAGCACTTGTAGTATGCGGCATGTCACTTGTCGTCGGCGACTGAGAATCCTCAAGACAGTCAGTTCTTTCCTGGGAAAGGTCAGTTACCCACCGCTTACATTCCACCTACGGGAGCCAGTTGTCTTGCAAATTTTCACTCTAGTCGCCATTACGCGGAAAGTGGAACTATGGAGCATTGGTTTTAACGTGATGGCGTGAATCACCCGAGACTAAAAAGTCGAGCCGCTCCTTTTTTGGCGAACGGTAGGCAAGAGCCTGAAGGTGAAGGCTGTGAACGCTTATTTTTCGCGAATCTGCAAACACGGCCAGGGGAATCAACGCAGTCGGCGCTCGGCAACGTCACCACATACCGGTGACATTACGCCTGCGTAAAGCTCCAGTAAAACTATCGACTGAGTTACGCTTGCCATTCGCTATGTTAAAACGTTCAATACCATATCTTCGGTCTACTATAAAGCTACTGTTACGAAATAATGAAGATAAGGTAATCCACAAAAATTCCAGATACACAATCGGCACGAGTACGTGTGACGAGGACGTAATTTATATAAAATATTTCAAAGTAACGTTCAATCGTTTGTTTTGATTTCGAGAAGAATCGAAGATCCCGAGACCAAATCGAAGATCTCGGGTTTGAGGAGGGAGACTGGCCAGCCAGAGGAGTCTTCGATGACGTCAGAAGCTATCTTTAAACTCGGCATCAACCGCGACTCAGAGACTACGGGAGGCGTGTACTCCCACCACCATGATGACATACGGTCACGTACGTATTCATACATGAGATCAGAAACGGATGCCATGCGTACGCAGTCTCTATATTCCTACCAGGGAACACAATGTACCATTGTTTCTGCAGGTTTTATTTGTCATCTGGCTGAGCGCTGAGCGTGCGACCGCCGCGAGATATATGTTGTGCATATACATACGTATGTCAAAGATGCACGAGCGAATTCTCTCCATCGTCGTCACATTAATCATATCCCGTTTCAACATTGTAAAGTCAAATCAATGACCACGAGTCAGAAGTCCACGGAGCAGGAAAGTTCAGTTCGCCGAAGAGTTTGCACCATTGACTTCGAGACTTTCACCGAGACGCCATCTTGCTCCGAGGATAATTTTGGTAATGATAATAAATGTTCCCGCGGATGTCGACAGACTCTCACCAAGCTCACGCGATAGGTGCGTGCAGCTGCGTGCACCAATAGAAGCAATAGGTAGCGCGGATAGATATTGACGTTCGAAGTAATATATCTGTACGTGAAGCGTCGAGTCATCATCATCGTCTCAAACGTCGGACATGATTCTAAACCAGCTACCGTTGCAGAGGTGTAACTCTACCTATCGTTTGATCCGTCGAATTGCTTATTGTATCTAGATCTATGCGTATTGAAAGTGTCCCGAGTGGGTTGGTAATAATTATCATAAAGATGTTTACCATTTAGAAATTGTCACCTAGACAGTCATTCCTTCATAAAACTCTCCCTCGTACGTTTACATTGGATATTCGTCTACGCGAAGACTGTTACTAGCTGATATTTATCAAAGGCTCGAATCTATAACGTGCTCCAATTACCAAGAAGATTCTGCCAAGATCCCTCTCAACCAACAGAGAGACCATTCAAATGATTCAGAGCTCCACGTTGTTGCCAATCAATTACGCACTTGCGTTACGAAATGCTACGCGCCGGGACGCGTGTCAGGTTTATAGACGATGCCAAGAATATAAAAGCACATTATATATCGCGTGTATATATATATATATATATATATATATATATACGTAAGCTCTCGCGTAGCATGCGTGCGTCTTTGGTTTACATTCGATCGAGCGCGTGTATAGAATGTTTGGTCGGGTGTCAAATATCAGTTATAACACAGACGATAGAGAACACCTTGGTCGTGTCGGAGCTGCCAATCGGATCGCCATATCTGGGGTTGCGTAAAAAAAATCAATAAGGTCACATCCAGCTTGAGCAATCAGTAACATAAAACGATATACACTCTAAAGTGGCAAAGAGCTCGGTAGACACTATAGGATGTACCCAGTTATATCATTACATCAAGTAGCCACGTCCGATCAACTTTTCGCACGTAATCATCGCCGTTATCATTATCCTCATCTTAGTCGTTAACGGTGTGACGACTCCTGAAGTGGGCGCCCACGTAATATACTTGCATAGAATTTTCGCACCGTCCATGCCCATATAGATGGTATAGGTATACAGCAAGTCTCTCTGCTCTTGGAGACGTTCGAAACGTTCCTGAAACCTTATGGATTCGTGCAGCAACTTGGGACAGAGAAAGCTCGCCTTATATAGATGGAGTCGTTACTCTGTCAAGACGGATCCGCCGTTTGCCATCGGAGCACAAGTTGCGACTGCCAAGAGCCCGTGGTCTGCCCACGCTAAAGATTTCACATTTTTGTTCACCTCGATCGTGGGAAAGATCTTGAAAAAAATATATACGGCATTCGATTTCATGGCACCTATGCTGTACTGGTACTGCTGTTATATATGTGTATATATATATATAATAATTTTAAATTTCCGTCGTCGGCCATTTAAATCTCTCCGAACCGAGAATGACGTATAGAGATAAAGTTAACGTAACGTGTTCACACGCTTGAACGGACGTCCATTACGTTTAATCACGCTGGACGTAATAAAGGTGACCCGAAGGATCTTGATGAAGGTGAAGGAACGACACGCGCACCTGTGTCAGATCAGCTGCTACTGCTGGTCCTGCTAATTTACATCGCTCTTGATTTCGAGTTGGAGAGAGATTAGATTTGTATGCATATGAGTGTGGTATACGTGTAGGAATGGTGGCTGAGGGTCGATGAAAAATTCTAGGAAGAAGATCTGGGATTATGAAGGGAGCTAAGAATCCTCTGGGTACCTTTGAAGTCGGATCCCCTCGGTGAGATCCAGTCTATCTAGGTAGTTTATCTAGCGATAGAGTCAGAGCTGTCATAAAGGTACTCGGATGTTGGAGTCTCGCGGCAGAGACAGTGAGAAGGAATGGTAGTTTGGATGCTACGTAAAAATGAGCTCGGGGATCTGTCAGACACGAATGGCTAAAAGAGGGCTCGCAGTGTCACGCACGAGTGCTCAGAGTTAGGATATGGGCCTTGGGTACTCGGGGCCTGTAAAAACGGCGCTGCCCAAAAAGTCAAAATAGAGAAGATAAGAGGCCGGTTGAGAAGGCTAGATAACTCCTCGGGAATCCATCTTGACTGTATCTTTAGTCAGAGTTCCTTCCTTTCCGTCAACCTTGCGTACCTCTTAGGAATGCCGAGTGCATTACGAATTACCAGGCTCTACCTGTACGTAAATGCTGGCGTCTGATCATCCAAGCGAATCTGACAGTTTTATGTTTCGTCGAACGTAACGAGACGCGTGGAAACGGAAAGTCAACGTATTTCCGTAACTGTAAAGAAAGTGTCTCGGAGAGTTCTTGTAATTTTGTCATTTATCAAAGGAAAGTGAACTCTGCGTTCGAATGAGTTTTACAGTGTCTACGTGCTGAAATGAGGCTTGATACGATTAAAAAAAGGTGTTCCAGCTAATCTCTCGTTAGAGAACGATATTACTTGCAGTGGGAACGTATATCCCGTGATATTTAATTCTAACTAATCTGAAACCGGAACGACGACGCCTCTAAGTTGGACGATCGAGCTGTGAATTCTCGCGTTAGAAGTACAGACGCCCACGGCGCTTCGAGGTTACGGTTCTTTGAACAGCTGTTTTGTTTTCGATGGATGTTATCGCTCAACGAATCCGGGAATAGCATTGGTATTCCCATTTCTTTGAAAGAAATGGATGTCCACGTTGTATGCGTATACTATTCTGCATATATTCCTGACGCTCGTGGTCCGCTTAGATAAACTGAATGAAATACCCGTACGCGTGTTCGGCGCGCGAGGAATGCGTGGGTGGAAAAAGACGGCGAAGGACGGAGAGTATAAGGAACGTAAAAGATGGAGAGAGAGAGAGAGAGAGAGAAAGAGAGTAAGATCAGTAGCGTAGTCTATAACGCGCAACAAACAGGGTGACTTTGTATTCAGGCAATTCGTTGGTGCAGCGTAATACTGGCTTCCTACAAGCTATCGGCCGGACTCAAATTCCAATAGCGAACCGGACCTATTCGTATTTCGCGGATCGATATTCAAATCAATTGGTACATTCCGGTTTCTGTGCGCCTTGCTCCCGAAGGACTTCAGGAATTTCAGGGCTACGTAAGAATCGTAAAAGTATTCTCGTTACGAAACTCAACAGACGCCATGTTGGAATCTATCTTTTGGAAACGAAATGTCTGGGCTTAATAGCGCCATAATTAATCGAGCGTACCATAATTAACCGTAACTCGTGCTCTAGTGACTATAACGTGTATATACATACCAAGAGTACCTACGCCAGGAACGTAAAAGACTTTCGCAATATCCGTAAGGAAATACACAGCGCGTCTACATTGGCTTGAGAGTACGGTCACGAAGAATCGCTGGTAGCGTAGATTCGTAGAAATTTTAACTGGAAATCATCAAACATGGTACAAGAATCTCGTGTATATCACAGTGGACATATAAGGTCCGTCCTTCGTAATTACAGGACTCATAATGAAGTCACTCTGTCAAGGTTCCCTGGAAGTTTTCATAAGCCTGAGGAATAAGTGGCCGCGTGATCTTCAGAAGTAGGTAGTGAGCTCACCGACGTATTTCAATGCTCTCTCGCTCCCATAAATATCATTATTGTCGCTGGTCGTATAAGCCCTGTGTCTTTGATTAATCGTGGCGGCGCGTACTCCTGCCACATATCACGCTCTCGTCGCGATAACACTCCGAGATTGAATAATGTATCGCCAGTATCACGGGATGCTTTTCATTCCTAGCCACGTAATGTCTGGGGCATATAACCCGTAGATGGTTTCAACATGGCGACACTTACCGCTGGAGTCAACTTGTACATTGTTTCTAGAAGACAAAAAAACAGAGTGGATTGTTCGTGTGTGACGCAACTTTACTTCTGACCCTGACGAAGGTCGTGCATAACCTACAATATACGTGCATGAGCTATATAGAATATATGTACATACATTCTATTAGTGTAGCCTTGGTGATTGATTAAATGAAAGTAGGGAGATGAAAGAAAAAAAGATAATAAAGAAATAAAAATCGATAGACCATGAAGACTCAGTAGTTTATCAGGACGGCATTTGGTGTCGTGACGAGGACCGATACCGATTTACGAAATAGCTTGAAGATGTATTAATGAAGATAGTCAAAGTGATGTTACGGTCCGGAGTCTCGTATTTGTGTCAGGCCCATTGAGTTTTTCGAGCCACCTCTTCCTCTGGCGCCTGTGTACATTGATTTAGGGTATCTTATCTGTTACGTGAAGGTAGTCAGATTATTGTCACATTCTCTATCTCTCTTTCTCGCACGGTAAGGAAACAAATGTATGCGACGACGTGTCTAAGGTTTACGTGTTTCCTCATATTTCGGACCATGGCAAACACTGGTGAATCAACAGCTGTACGATGACTCAGAAGACCCGGTTCGACATTTTTTGTCAGAGTCAGTACGCGTGTAAGCTGGAATTTCGCCAATTGGATAAAGTTCTTATGGCCCTGCTGTACACAAAACCATTTGCAAAATTTTATATACGAATTTCGCATTGTCTTTTGTGCGAAGGATATTTGCGTTTTTACTTTTCCCTCAATGGGCTTTTCAGAGGATTTCAGGCACTGCGAAGTTCTTTATCGGAACGGTGAATGGCACTTCTATTGTCTTGGAAAACTTCTACCCCTAACCGGAGGGTGGTCCAACGGTCACTGTACGAGGAAACAAACAGAATTGTTCGATACTTGAAGCTTTCGGGTACAGGGTCTTTCAAAGTTGAATGTAAGCGAAAGAATTTCTCGTAGATCTCGAGAGTACGCGTTTCCGATTCTTCTCGCTGCTTACTTTCATTTCATCTCTTTATTTTTCTCACTCGTTTAGCACGATTCTCGAGGATGATTCACGTCTAATTACAAATCCCGCTGAGTGCAGTCGCCAGACTGTGAAACGCTAAAAAGTGACGTGTGCTCTGGGAATTATTCGCTCGAACGTAACGTTTATCG